ATAATAAAAAAACATAAAGTTATAGAGTAAACAACCCGTTAGAAACGTTTGCTTAACCAGAGATGTTCTTTCTTTGTTTTGAGTTTATAAATAAATTAATAAATAAAATTAAATAAAATAATATAAACAAATAAATAAATAAATAAAACTAAATAAAAATATAAATAAATAAATAAATAAAAAAGAAAAAAAATATATTAAAAAATCATAAAGTTATAGAGTATGCAGCACGTAAGAAAGGGCTGCTTAACCAGAGACGTTGTTGCTTATGTATTTAGTTTATAAATAAATAAATAAATAAATAAATAAATAAATAAATTAAATAAAATAATATAATATAAAATAATATAATATAAAATAAATAAATAAATAAATAAATTAATATAAATAAAATAAAATATTATAATTTTACAAAATTAAAAAAAAAAAAAATAATTTTTAGCCACAGGCTCTGCAGTGAGTTTATAAATAAAGGAAAAAAAAATAAATACAAATACAAATAAATAAATAAATAAATATAAATAAATAAATAAGTGAATAAATAAAAATAAAAATAAAAATAAATGAAATAAATAAATAAATAAACAAAATATATAAATAAATAAATAAATAAAAACAAATAAATATGTGTGTATTTCAGGTGTACGTGTACCTGAGCGAGAAGATGCGTCCAATAAACATAATCCATACAAGCAGCAACGAAATAAATAAATAAATAAATAAATAAAAATAAAAATAAATAAATTAAATAAATAAAAATAAATAAATAAATAAATAAATAAAAATAAATATGTGTGTATTTCAGGTGTACGTGTACCTGAGCGAGAAGATGCGCCCAATAAACATAATCCATACAAGCAGCAACAGAAGAGGTTTATGTGCATTAGCAGCAACAAATGGAGTTTTAGGTTGCTGGCTGCTAGCCTGTCCTGCTGTTGCTGTTGGTGCTGTTCGTATACACACTGGGTTTTCTTTTGCTGCTGCTGCTGCTGCTGCTGCTGCTGCTGATTCAAGCGTTGATGGAACTGCAGCAGCAGCAGCAGCAGGAGGAGCAGCAGCAGCAGCAGCAAAAGCAGCAGCAACTGCTTCTGGGGATTGTGAATCGAATACGGGGTCTACAGCAGCAGGAAAAACAGCAGCAGCAGCAGCAGCAGCAGCAGCAGCAGCAGCAGCAGCAGGAGGAGGCTGCACAGGTGGTAATCATGTATTTCAAGCACATAGAACGCAGCTAGCTGCTCTCGTGTTTAATATGGAGGGGACGTTGCTGCTGACGGCTAGCACAAAAGGAACAGTAACGAGGGTATTCAGAGCAGCAGATGGTTTGCTGCTGCAGCAGCTGCGGCGGGGGGCGAACTGCTGCAGCATCAGCAGCATCTCTATCCGTGCTGATGATCAGTTTGTTGCTGTTGCTTCTTCTTCTGCTACTATACATATCTTTCTCCTGCAGCAGCAGCAGCAACAGCAGCAGCAGCAGCAGCAGCAGCAGCAGCAGGTGATGCAGCAGCAAGAAGGAGAACTCAGCTCACGCTTCTATCAGGATGGACGTGATTGTAGTAATAGCAGCAGCAGCAGCAGCAGCAGCAGCAACTGCAGCAGCAGCAGCAGCAGCAGCAATGGTAGCAGCAGCAGAAATGCAGCAACTACTGCAGCAGCAGCAGCAGCAGCAGCAGCAGCAGCAGCAAAACAACTTCCTGCTGCTCTCAATTCAGGCAAAGAAATAACTGCTGCTGTATACGGAGCATCCAGAGATATAGTACAGGATGCAATCAAGGTACTTTTGTTTTTTTTTTATTTATTTTATTTATTTATTTTATTTATTTTATTTATTTTATTTATTTATTTTATTTGTTTTATTTTGTTTATTTATTTTATTTGTTTTATTCTGTTTGTTTTATTTATTTTATTTATTTTGTCTATTTTATTTATTTTATTTTGTTTATTTATTTTATTTTGTTTATTTCATTTTATTTATTTTTCTCTTTATTTGTTTGTTTTATTTATCTGCTTTATTTTGTTTTATTTTATTTTGTTTATTTATTTTTTTTTCGCTTTTTTATTATATTTGTTTATCTGTGAATTTATTAATTTGTTTTATCTTTTCTTTGCTTTATTTTTTTATTTATTTATTTTTATTTCGGCAGTTTTATTTATTTTGTTTTTATTTTATTGTTTTTTTAATTTATTTTGCTTTTGTTTATTTATTTATTTATTTATTTATTTTTATTTTTTTATTTATTTTTTTTGTTTTGTCTAAACATAAACAAAAACCAGCTGCACGGTGTTTTCTGTTTCTTTTTTTTTTTTTTTTTATTTGTTTCTTTATTTTTTATTAATATATCCATATTTTAATCTCATACATACATACATACATATATATATATATATATATATATATATATATATATATATATATATATATATA